AACCAGATTTTGTGACGTCACAGACTCATTGCCTGGCAACGCAGCTCAGCTTTAACGACTTATGCCCTTTATAACGTCGTCTGGACGCAGCTTATGAGATATTATTTTGTCTGAGGCGTTACGTTACTCTCGCCATTAGGCTTGTTACGCCGATATTATATTTGAGGAAACTTGCGCGTATTCTCTCTGCGTAGTCTTTGGCTAAACTATGACTTAACTATGTTTAATTTAAATTCATTATTTTTGAGTTAAGCTATAAATGCTGGCTGGTTTTTTAAGCACAAGACATGCCTTTTGTTAATCTATTTAGTTTAATTAAAGGGTATTTTATACTTTTAGTGCGCCTCTAATATAATTCTAATACATTCATAATTCGCTTACGTGTTCCAGGGTTATGCTGCCAAACAAGGTGGGACACTATAGCTTTTCATTCGAGCCTGTTGCCATCCCAAAAAAAAAAAAAACCCTTCGACGTTTTCATACCCATCCAGTCTATGGTATCACATATTATGAATATCTAATTCCAGTTAAAAGCTACATGGCAGCATTAACGGGAGTTTTGATCACGGCATGCATTTCATACAAAACAGCGGTTCCTAGATTCATTTCATACAAAACAGCGGTTCCTAGATTCATTCCATACAAAACAGCGGTTCCTAGATTCATTTCATACAAAACAGCGGTTCCTAGATTCATTTCATACAAAACAGCGGTTCCTAGATTCATTTCATACAAAACAGCGGTTCCTAGATTCATTTCATACAAAACACAGCGGTTCCTATTTCATAAAAACAGCGGTTCCTAGATTCATTTCATACAAAACAGCGGTTCCTAGATTCATTCATACAAAACAGCGGTTCCTAGATTCATTCATACAAAACAGCGGTTCCTAGATTCATTTCATACAAAACAGCGGTTCCTAGATTCATTTCATACAGCGGTTCCTAGATTCATTTCATACAAAACAGCGGTTCCTAGATTCATTTCATACAAAACAGCGGTTCCTAGATTCATTTCATACAAAACAGCGGTTCCTAGATTCATTTCATACAAAACAGCGGTTCCTAGATTCACGGACTGCTTTTAAAAAGCAACATCCTTCTAATAACAATTCACAGAAACCTCTTTCGTACCAATATTGACAGAACATACTGTGACTATCACATTTTATATGAAATAAAATTGTATCTTAAAACTAATTTTTTTAAATAATGAATTAAGTTAATCTAGTCTAAATATTTTAAAGTGTTTTCAGTTATTATTAAATGCAAAAAATAGTCAGAGAAATGGAAGAAAGCCTTTGTGTTTGGATGAACGGTCTAAAATTTCAGCTTGTGTTTTATGTCCGAAAGTAGGGACTGTTTGCTCTGGCGTTTATGACATTCCTTTTCCCTTTGTAACATAAATACAAACAAGGTCCTTGTAAAAGATGTTTCTTCCAACGCAGATTGACCTCCTGACTTAGGCATATAAAATGTCAGGCTAATCTAATTTATTACTATAGGTAAAGTAGTTCGAAGTTAACATAGAAAATGAACAAATGCGTTTAAATTTAAAAAAAAGTAACATTTATTTATCCAGACTACTACAGATTAAGGACTACTCTACAGATGTATTCTAGATTATTTTTATTCATTTGTAAAATAAGGTAGTTTAAAAAATTCTTGGATTTGTTGTTTGCCATATGAAATGGGGGAAGATGAGGACTGATATATTCCAGCTTTGCCTTTTTATCAAAGTACCACGTGATCGTGCCATTATCTATTCATGACTAACGATAGCAGTTCTTTTTCTGTTAACCTTTTGAACTTCTGTCCGAGTAATTAGAACCGTAATCTCGGATAGTCGAAAATTGGGTTAATAAAGAACTAAATTGTAAAATATGTACGTTTTTCTGAAATTGCCCATTTGAAATTCTAAAAACAATTGCACGAATGCAACAATTAATATTTTAACAATTCCTTTTATTACTAGGTAAAATTTGTTTCCTTCAGTTAACAAATAATCTATATTAGATTATAATTTTTGGTCACATTTTTCACATGGACTTTTATTAATTTTTTGCGGGGTGGGGGAGGACGAGAATGCTTTAGCGATAATTCTGTCATCTACCCGCATGCTTATCCCAGTTTTAGATCAATAAAAGATCCGGCAGATTAACATCAGGATATTGCTTAGTACATATTAAAGAACTTCACTCACAGCGCTTGTTAACCCTTTCCGGTACGCTACCTTCTAAAGTAGGAGTTTTGATAAAAAAAAAAAAAAAAAAAAAAAAAGGTAGCCAGTCTCATTAGGCCTAGAGGAGTACACAAGTAAAATTTTGTGAAGATAGCACTTATCGTTTTAATTCTGTGGGTGTGCCCAAAATGGGCACACTGATTGAATAGAGCTTCAAAAAGAGTACTGAATTGAGCATTGTTGTCAATGAACTGACCGATGAGATGCCGAGAAACAAAGAATAAAGAGTCTTAGTTGTCCTAGATTATCAGTGAGCCCGGTCTGGGCACATCTAGGGTTCGCCGTGTGATTTTAGGCAAGATTTCAAAGTAAAAATTTAAAACCAATATAGAATAAGGAGATTAGCATACAGCCAAAAAAAATAACATAGAAATTTCTTTTCAAACAATTCTTTTTATACCCTAAAAAAATCTGGAAGATTTCTTTGAAAAATGAGGGTCTTAAAAAACTAAACATGGCTAAAATATATGGACTGGTTCGTGTTGAGCTGCCATCTACTATAAATAAAGAAGGTTCAGAATAACGTATAGTAACTTATAAATCCTTTTTCATTCAATTTTTCTGTGCGTACAGAAGGAAATTTTTAGGTGTATCCAGACCGGACACACTGTGCCGCAAAGGGTTAATGACCATGCAGTAAATCTGCTGTATGCTCGTAGTTCGATTCGAATTCAGATCTCGACGAATAGATTGACTGCATAGAAATTTGCATGATTTTGCCATTATAACGTATGTATGAGGCAATTCCCTTTAAAAAAATTCCACGAAGGGACCCTTTCCTTCAAACACAAAACCTTCGTGTGCTTACTTGCCTGTAGTTGAAGTAAGCCAAAACTAAGACTTCAGCAGGATAATTTTCAGATTTCTTTGTTTCATCAGGATCCTTAGCATCTTTGCAATTTTTATTGTTCTTTGAATATATGCCACGAATTGTTTCTTCTTAAAACAACACTTGAAATTTTTTTCTGCTATTTCATTTATTCCGAAGGATCATCCTTTTTATCCTTTGAAGCATATCTACAAATTAATTTTCAGTTAATATTTAACACATATTAACCTCATTTTTTACTATAATGCACAGCAGAAAGTCACTAAATGACCCACTACTGATGGGAAAGACCACAAGTACAACCACGGATAAAACTGGCGAATGTAACTGATTTTCGCGGTACCCTTCCTAATGTTACTACATTTCCCGATTATTTCTTTAAAATGACTGCCGACATTAAAAGCAACCTCAGTTAACAAAGACCTAGACTGACAGAAGCCCGGTTAATGGAGATTATTGTTGTCTTAACAATACAACAAAAATCTGCTTTGTTATAAAAAGGGAATTCCGTATATTTCCCCCTGAATCACATTATATTTGATCTTAATTTCAAGTTTGAAAACAAGTAAAAATCATCTGGAGGTATATTGGATTGTTTTTCAGTCAATTTTTATTTAATTGCTAACTTGAAATTTAAGTTTAAATGTTTGTGATTTAGTGGTTTATCACTCAAATTATATTAAATCGATTTAAACAATAATAAAACACAACAAAATGATTTAAAGAATTAATATCAGAGTGGATTTCTGGACTACTGCTAACAATTTTATGGTTTACTGGTTTGGGGTTGATTTAGAGAATATAACAAAGCGCACAAGCGCGATCTCCTTTAAAAGGGAAGTTGCTGTTGAAGACTTTCTAAGAAAAAGAAGCTCATTTTAATTTTACGCTGATAGAAAACTCTATACTCAGGAATCTATATTCAGGAATCAAAAACAGAATTAGTGTTTAGCTGTCTGCTAAACAGTATTAGTATTTAGCCCTTTAGGACAGAAGAGTCGATAGGCTTTGGGAACGTTGGTAAAACATCGTAGTCACTGGAAATGACTGCATTTTTTGACAGAAATCATACACTGTTCTCCCTGAAATAAATAAAATTTTTAAATGATTACATGTAAAACATGTAAAAGATTTTTAAAGTTAGAGTAAACAATTTAAAAACATAAAAAAGAACAAAATAATTATTAAAAAAAATCTTAAATGTTTCAGATTTTAAATTACGTCCAAAATGGCGTTTTTTTTTTTTTTTTTTTTTTTTTTTTTTTTTTTTTTTTAACGTTTTGTGTGTTACCTTTATTATTAAATATCATGTTCTTTGCACTTAAACAAACCATAAAATTGAATTCAATAGCAATGTCGCAAAATAATTTTAAAATGAGCCTATCTTTAAAATTTCCGATACACAGTTCGACGCACTGAAGATAAAAAGGTTCCCCCCCCCTTAGAGTGTTGCCATTATTCGGTTTTAAATCATTGAATTTTATTACTCAAATTCGTTAACGTTTTACAAAATATGAAATCGATCATAAAACAAATTCCAAATTTCAAATTTGGGATTTCAGATGCCCATATTCGCAGGAGGATTACGTCATTCAAAATTATATGTCTCTAGATACCGCAATGCGTTTTACCGCAATGCGAGTAATATACATACATTTATGCAAATTTTTCATTATTTAATTTATTCAAATATAATACAGGAAGGACTCTAGCATTTGGCGGCAGCAGTCTGAAAAGTGATTCGCCATTTATAGTGATTCAACGCAAAATCGCAAAACGAAAACAATAGTCCTTCGGGAAATCCCTTTGGACTAATAAGAAAAATTATTCCGCATTGGTTTATCTAAATGTGTTCAAAATTGTAATCACTTACTGTTAGTAAAATTAATTTTAATATGATTATATAATGAGTTCTTTTTGCTTATTTCAGCCATGCGCTGTTGTTCCCTTGCCAATGGATCTTGTAAATCAGCTTGTGAAAAGGTAAGTAATATAACTCATGATTCCTTCTGTATTTAGTTATATGTAGTATTTCAGCAGGATGCAGAACCGATTCGGGAATCTTTGGATAGCTCGATTACCGTCGAAGATGCGATTCATTTAAAGACGATAATAATATTAATAATACAGAAAATTGCATCGCATTCTATTAGAATCAAAAAGTCAAAAATATGGAAGTCACAAGATCTGGAGTTTAAATCTCCTGCAGGTGACATGTAGTCTGCTGCAATATTTCAAATTCGCATGCGAAGAAAGCGATGAAGCGATAAGAAATAATCGCTTCAAGAAATTTTGAAACGCTTAATGCATGCTATAAATAAACATTTCTGTAAATATCGAATTTTTTTTCAAGTTTTATTAATTTTAGTTTTAAAGATCTTTTAGTGTTCCTCACTTTTATTCTACAAAACTAAATGTTGAGGAATCTAGTGAACTACAAAGCGAATAATCGCTGAAGTCCAAGAACAGAAACGTAAACACAAGAAGGGTTAATTACCCTTTATTTGCTCAAAATAAAGATATACAGACAGCCCCTTTCTCAGGGCGTACAACAAAGTCTCCGCTGGGGCTTTAACACAAAATGTAAGAAATTAAAACTAACTAATGAAATTTAGCCGAAGCTAACGCTATTCTAAACTAGCTGGCTAGTAATATTTAATTAGCCAGCGAAGCTATCAAAAGGCACGTAATACGGCCGCGCGTAGTAACAGTTAGAGGAACGTAGCCAAAAAGCAAACCCGTGCTATTCAGGAATCCTAACTCTCTCTCTTTCGCAGTTAGTGGAACTTAGATACTTTCCACTTCTTATTTGCATTTAACATGATTCTAAAAACTCATTCTGGTAGGAAATTGTAAGCTGAAGCTAGAAGAGATAGGAAAGGTTCATAAACTTAAAATAACTGTTATAAAATTAGGATTTATCTTACAGTCTTAAGAGATTTGATTTTTTAACGAATTTTCCGATTTTGTAAAATTGTGACCAATTTGTTTGATGCTCAAAAGCACGCCTTGCATTATGACTCCTGCTAAAATTGCTCATGTTACAACGGGTAATGTAGTAATGGTGTTAAACATAATAGAAATCAGAAGGATGGGGTTCAGAATAGCTTGAAAATACTCGTCCGTATTCCCTCAGTCCCTAATTTGAATTACTTAAAATGAAAGTAACTGTAAACGAAAGGAAGAAAGAACAAAGGTGAATATGGCACCGAAGAATAAAAACAAAATGGGGCGCCGAAAATAGAAAGAATGAGAATGATATTTAGCTTCATTTAATGTAATTGTTCTATTGTAGACAATTAATATGTTATTTTAGGACAGGTATACTCTTTAAGCTCATTCAAGTTTAAATTCAAATTCAGTTCTTATAGAAAAAACAAAATAAAACAATGGTTTCCTGATACTAATTTAAGACTTAATTTTCCTTTTGTTTTGACCTTAAGCAATGTATTTAATGAAACAACATATATTAATGTGAATATGATTTTCTTGTTGTCTCTTATATCTTCCTCTAAATTCTAGTATTATTTGAATACTATTTGTAAAAAAAGTGCTTTTCATTGTAAAGTTTATCTTAAGTTTCTAACAGTTAATTCTAGTTAAAGCTACTTTCCTGTTATTCCTAATTTCAGCTTACAATTTCCTACCAGAATGTGTTTTTAGAATTGCGTTTAATGCAAATGAGTGGTATTTAAGTATTAGTTCCACTGACTTCGAGAGAGACCCTCAGAGTTTTTGACTGGCGTGCGTCCGCCTTTTGGCTACGTCTCTCTCTAAGCTGTTACTACGCTCGGCCGTATTATAGTCCCTTGATAGATTGGCTAACTTATTAGATATTTAGAGGCCAACTACTTAGAATTTTGATAGCTTCGGCTATACCTTTTTAGCCAAGCATTAGTTAAGTCTTATTTCTTATTATTTTAAGTTCAAGCCCAAGTGGAGGCTTTGCTGTACGCCTTGAGAAAGGGGCCGACTGTTTAACTCATATTTTGAGAAATGAAGGGTAATTAACCCTTTTTGAGTTTACGTCTTTGTTTCTGAACTAAAGTGATTATTCTCTTAACTGTTCACGAGGTTCCTACACATTTAACTGTTAGATAAAGGGGTGAAACCCCACATCATTTAAATGAAAAATTCCTGAGCACTGAGAAGCTTTGTTGAAGTAGTTTGAGTAGTTTTGCTTCGGAATATTACGTAATGTGCTAATGCGCAGTTTTATGAGAAGTAACATACGTAAACTGTTAAGTAATTAAGGTTAACATATGGTATTCAAACGGTGAACTTATCCAGTTTTTATCTATTTAGAATTTAATATTTCCCACCCGCTTTAAAATGTATTCTTCTTTTCGGTATTCTTTGCTTCACGCACATTTCACGCACATTTGTATTTCAGAATTACATAAAACTTGTGAATTTTACTTTTGCTTTTCTGTTCAAAAGGCAAAGCAATGAATGGACTCGATGATAAAGTATTCAAGCGGACTAAAATTAACGTGGGATTAATGAAGGATCAAATAGTTGCACAATTCAATCTTAGATTTGATTACCCCTGATTTTTATAACTGTTACCGTGAAAGACCGAAATTGGAGAATGTCGACTTTCACCGAAGAATGTCAACATTCACCAAATACGTCGGTGAAAGTTCGAATATTGCATTACATTCTTGTACATTCGGACCCTCACCAGTGTATGTCGACAATCACAGATATGTTCTGGTGTAGGTCGAAAAGAGAGGACTATATGTACGCGCAGTCATTTCAAAAGGAAGTGTGTTCCACAAATAAATGCGGTTGAAAAAAGCAAGGGCCTCTTGTGCAATTCAAAATGTCATAATAGTTTAAGTTGTTGCAATAAATAAGATTTGAATCACATAATTTAGTAAGTTTTTAACTTCTATTATTTTCCTTGTTCTTATTTTAAGTCTCAAGTGTGTTTTTTCGCGACTGAATTGCGGAGAAGAAAATATAATACTCTTATATGTTCAACATTCACCATTAGTACATGGTGAATAGCGACATTTACCGGTGTAATTTAGAAATAAGAGTATTTGGAAAATATTTCATACATACAGCAAGCGACTATGTGAATGTTGACATTCACCAGTGAAAGTCCACATTGTCCAGATTTCGGTGTTTCACTGTAACATAACCATTTATTAAAAAGAACTGTTGTCAAAAATAAGCAACTTTTGACAATACGGCTTGATAGATGGTATCAAAATATAACATGTTTATTTTAACGCTGTTACTAACATTTAATTTTATGATAACAAAATATTTGCAATATTATTTTATTTAGTTAGTTTCATGATAAATGTATGCCATCATTTCAACCTTCGTGTTAATGTTATAATAAATATATAAAAATAAAAATTTTATTAGATTATTTTAACGTAGACTGTTTCTGTTTTACAATAAATCATTTTTAAAAGATTATTAGTCCAAAGGGGCAATTTGTCTAGAAGGGCTATTAATTTAAGTTTGGTATTTTGCGCCGTCCACTATAAAACGGCGTTTCACTTTTCAAATTGTTGCCACCAAATATTATAGCTCTGCATTATATTTAAAGAAATTAAATAATGAAGAATCTGCATGAATGTATGTACGTTTCTCGTATTGTGAAAAAACAACGGTACCTAGAGACATCCAATTTTGAATAACGTAGTCCTCCACTCGAATATGAGCTTCTGGAAGCCTGCATTTGGAATTTGTTTTATTACCTATTTCATATTTTGTAAAACTTTAACTAATTTTGGGTTAGCAAACTCAACATTTCTAAGCGAGCATTGGCAATACTGAAAGGAAAATAAAACACTTTTATCACCAGCGCGCGAGACTGCGTATTCGAAATTCTAAAGTATGCTGTTTTTAAATGTTTTTTTATATTGCTGTTGAATTGAATTTTATGGTTTAAGTGCGAAGAACGTATTTAATAAACCAAGGTAACACAAAAAACGCTAAAAAAAACGCCCTTTTAAACGTAATATAAAATGAAAGCTTTCAGATTTGTTTTAACATTGATCTGAACCATCATTCATGACTCATAATATAATCTGCATCATTAATTCATATTATTTGAAGTGTACTTTTTTTAGTTGATTTCAGAGTACATTGTCTTCCTTTATAATTTTCGTATTTTAAGCACTGATTTAACCTATACAGAACTGCATAATCACATTATATAACTCTTTATTTCTCAAAGGTGTCTCCTTTTCCCAATAACATAACGTGCACTTACTTCATGGAGGTAGGAAGTCCTTTCTTACCTCCATGCCTTACTTAAGGGGGTAGCATTTTGTGGGACGCAAGGGGAAGCTTTCCACGAAGCGAATCTTTCTGCAACCGGAGATGACCACGACCGCCGGAAGTCTGGTTTCCACCCTCCTGACACCATCTCTACGCTTTGTCGCCTCTTTAAAATACTCTGATCTTTTCTTTCTCACCCCTCCTTCATTTCACCTTTTCTCAAAGAATGGCAGAAAAAATGGTGACGAGAGAATAAGTTCAATAATAAAATTAACTTTTTTGTTTTTCCTCAACCATTCGCGTTTTCGTTAATATCCAAGCTGTAATAACCGACGCGTAAGACGCCAGAATTTGGACGGAGTCACCAAGGGTTTTAAATAAACAAAAAATATCTTTTGACGTGGCTGTGGAAGCTAGGTGTTTTGCCAATTTTTCTGCATTTCGGGGTGTTTACAAACATTCTAAAGAAGCTTAAATAAAAATCCAGTTTCTTGTTAGAGCTTAAAGGGGACAAATTAGATACATACTGAAAATAATGTTCATTCTTTATCTTCATCGTAAATAATGTAGCACATAGCATTAGGAAGATGTTTTAATTATTACACTTTAACGGCCAAAACTGTGTAAACTATTTGAAAAATGTATGTTTTTAAGTTTCGATTTCTTAATATTCTTAAGAAAATCGTACGAAGTTGTATACTAACAAAAAGATAATTTTATGCGAAACATAATGCAGT